CTATCTTCTTTTCTTTGGATTACTATTTAATATTTTATTAATCATCATAATATCGGTAGGCTGATATTTGTAAGATTTTATCGACCAATTTTATATCTTATAGCTGATTTTTGGTTGGTTGTTTTTTTATATATCACCTTCATATCATCCTATCATATAAAAAAATTTTGACCAGTGGTATAAGTTTAAAGTAAGTGGGCTGCACCAGTCTCAGTCCTGTAAAAGCTGAATGCCTGGCCAGGTTTGTAATAAAAAGATCCACCATTGGACATCGGAGATCATAGGCTTGGTTATGCAGATGTGATGTCATAGATTGTTAGAAGAATTTTGTGCTTTGACGAGTCGTTATATGAAGGGGCGGCCTTGGGGTATGATTTGACATGCCCATACCAGTGAACCTACTAGTGATTGAAGTTCTTTTAGTGTATAATTTTTTTTGCTATTCCATTGTTTCAGTAGTAGAACTAATTTGTTATACTTTTGTGGTGGTATGGATGTGGTCATGGTAGCTATATCGAGCTTTATGCCTAGGAAGGTAACCGAGGTGCTTGGCCTTTCCATTTTTGTATCTTTGTAGAGTATGTTTATAGTGTCTAGGATATGTATGAATTGTCACAACTCCTGTGACCCGTCGGTTGGTAAGATAATGAAAAAGTTATCAATGTAGTGAATTATGGCTAGAATGCCTTGTTGTAACGCTATCTATGCTATTGTGTCAGCAAAATAGCAAAAAATGCTGCTGGATGCACGGTTGCCAAAAGCGAGAACTTTGTTGAAGAATATGTCGTTTCCGTGGCAAAATCCTTGTAATATTTGATCTATTGGGTGGACAGGCAATATACGGTATGCGTCTTTTATATCGATTTTTGAAGGGTGCAGTTTTTGCCGAAGTGATTTATCCATTTGATCGCAGTGTCATGGTTTCGTATCGAGTTGCAAATTCTAATTTGTCGATTCTGTCATTTATGCTATTGTTTACTGGGATGATAAATGGGAGATCACCTGGTAAGCTGTTGGGTTTGTTTTTTTTTTCTCGACCAATCCACAGGGGTTGGTCTGGAAGATATCACATGGTGGGTTGTCTAGGTGGAACGGTCCGCATATGCGTTTGTTTGCTAGTTCGGTCTTTATGTAGGTGTCAAATGCTTCTGGGGCTATGTTGATTGATTGCAAGTTTTTTTGTATAATTTTTGTTCGGGTGTCTCTAAAATTGAACTAGAGTTTGTATATCGAATTGTTGTGGATTTAGTTGTGATAATAGGTGTAACTCTGTGCTGTTTAGAGGGATAGTTGGTGTGGTACTGCCATTATAGTCTCGTTGACCGATTGGAGCAATGGGGCTTCGTCTATTGTAATATTTCGGAATAGTTTGAATTGTGCCGCATGCACTAGATTGTTTGGGGTGTGAACGTCTATTCGTCGTTGGTGTGTATGAATTTAAATGAGGGTCTATGTTAGTGGGTTTGTTTTTTTTTTTTTTTTTAAAAAATTCTCTTTCTTTTTTTTTTTTTTTTTATATATATCTGGAGCCCTTTAAGAAACTGCGCTTATGCCCATGATCATTTCTGTGTCGTTAAGTGTACAGTATGCTATATTGATTGAGTATTCGAAATATATGTGTATACAGTGTTTATAATGATTATGCTAATGTTATGCTTATATTGTAACACAGGTCGAAAGATAAAAAATCAGGCACAAATCAGGTACCTGATTTTAAACTGATTACTACCTAATTACTATCTGATTTATGCATATTTTTGTACCAAATTTTTGGTACAAAAATATATATAAATCAGGTGCCAATCAAGTAATAATCAGTTTAAAATCAGATACCTGATTTGTGCCTGATTTTTCATCTTTCGACCTGTGTAATGCTATTGTGTTATAGGTGAATCGATGGTTTTCGATTACTCCTGGATGTTCGATATGCTTTCTCTTTTTTTTTTTTTTTTTTTTTTTTTTTTTTTTTTTTTTTTTTTTTTTTTTTTTTTTTTTTTTTTTTTTTT